GTCAAGCTATATAGCCTCTGATTAGTCATCCGATTGGTCACAGGTGTGACTCTGTTGGTATTACAGCTCGAACGGCGCATGCGCGATGGGAACATTCAGTGCTTTTAGCACCGGCCTCTGGCGGTCAGTAGGGATGAAATAGAACAACACATGATAAACAGTGTGCTGGCTGAGTTCTACTCAAACAGTACATCTATACTTAACCACCTCAATAAAACCCTGACCCTAAAACTAACCTAAACTTTATTCACAACTTAGAACTAAATTTGAACCCCCTCACACAAAACCAGCCTTCAAACTCATGGGGTCTTTTGTCCTCATAAGAAACAGGTCAAAATTGCCCTCATCAGGTAACAAAAACCTGTACACATACAAACACACAAGCACAATGGTCAGATTAAGACTTTATCAAACTGCTGATAGGAAGTTGCAAATGGAGGTTAACTTCAGGGATGTAATAAATACTCACCTGTAATGACAATGATGTGCAGTGTAGTGGTTGGAAAAGAAATAAGAATTATGTGTGAAAATATTAAATGGCACAAAAATATGCATGTATTTAACATTTATGATTTGCAACCCTAACTTTGTATCCATATTATCTAAAAAAAACATACAGGAAGTGAGAAACATGTTCAAAAACACAAYTACAAAAAAGTAATTTAGAAAGATATTAGAAAACATTATATTTAAAAACTGGACTGTTTGTCACCTTCTAAATGAATGCTGGACACTGGTTTTTGATATTTTCTGAGTTTGCAAACAGAAATTATTAAATCTGTTTGGTTTAGTTCATACAAAACCTAAAGAAATTATCTTAATTTCATGAACTGTTTTATTCAAAATCCTTACATATGTATAAATATTTATCAGTATTTATTGAACATCATCTCATACATCTGTATATAATTTTGGCTTACACATAACTGTGATGTTTACACACACTGCAATACTCTTTTATATTTACAGCCAAACACAAAAACAAACAAGACAAATTCTATTAAATGTTAGAACATACACAAAAGGCGAGAATAAAAACTGTGCTTTCATTTGTATATCAAGAATAAATTGACATATAATACATTTTTTAAAGAAACGATTTCAAGTCTAATGAAGTAAAACTGAAAAAAAAAAGTTACAGTCATACATTTGGCCCACTAATCAGGAGAAAAGAAACAGGAGCAGGAAATCAAAGTGCTTTTTACTTTGGCATTACAAAGAAAGATTTTGCAAATATTTACAGCAAAGGACTACAAACGCTGTTGCCGAAATGTTGGGAGATTTTATCCCTTTTTTTACACTCAACAAAGACAGGGTGGTCTGACTCTTAACACCAAACTGTACTTTATAAACATAAATCAAGTTTAGTAGACTTTAGGTACTTATATACAATGTGACAATAATAATGTAAAATACTGTATACTATCACAGATAATTTATTGGTACAAAACAGTTTTTTTCTAACAATAAAACCATGGCATGGCAGGGGATTCTGATGTTATCAGTCCATGAAATGGACGTTATTAGGCATTATCAGTCCCATACAATGGCTTCAGAGGGTCCCTACTGTGCCTTCTAGGCTTCAGACTGTCCCGACWGTTCCCCCTAGTGGGTTAATATGTCAATGACTATGATTGTGTAAATAAACAAAAGATATTGTAATAAATGTTTTGTGTCCGTGTCCTTCTCAAACACTGGTCTCTCGCTCTTTGGTCCAACACCATACTCATTGCTCTATTGGAAGGCCACAATATACAACTGTTGGAGGACGGTGTCTTTAGCGCTAACCATGTCATTTGCTTTAAAGTTTAACTTAGTGGCTTTAAGCCTCATATTAACCAGTTTTTTAATGCCTCATGATAACCAGATAGTGGCTTAATGCCTCATCCTAACCAGATGACAATCAGAAGCCATTCTATGGGACGGGGGAACCTGCTAACCGGCACAGGCGAGACATTCTGAAGCCATTCTATGGGACTGATAATGCCTAATAACATCCATTTCATGGATGATAACATCCGAAGCGGGTGAGCATGGGATCAGTGATGCTTCTTCAGCTCTTCAGTGTCTCTGGGCGTGTGCAGCCGTGTGCGTGTGTGTGTGTGTGTGTGTGTGTGTGTTTGGCTCTGGCCATGTAGTTTGAGCTGGTTGGAAATAGGCAGGATCAGGTCAGGTGTTCGCAGGTAAATCCCCACCATGAGCCACTGGTTGATGGGGAGACATTGGCATTACGGCTCTGACACGTTGAGGGCAGGTTAACCTGCACTGACGCCGTTCGATTGCGCCATGCCACCGTGTGACACCTGACATTCAGCCTTCTTACCGTTATGTAATCAACCTCTGACAGAATCCAGCAAATCGACAAAATACATTTAAATACACAAAAACGTTACAATTTTAAATAAAAAAGCTTTTTTTTCATTTCTAGAAAAAAAACTGCATTAGTTTCAATATGAAATACTAATGTGACAAAAAAACAACGGTATTAAGTCATGATATGTCCATTCAATCTGCTCTGTATAAAAATATCCTGCTACACAATCACTACACAGGTGCCTTWTGCTTGTTTTTTATGTTCCTGTTTCCTTTCACCTTCTGCAATGTTTATGTTGATTGCAGCAAGCTGGTTGATGGCGGCCAGCAACCTCTGGAGCTGTTCTGTTGAAACAAAATCCAATTATGTGTGAAGAATCCCTCAGAGCAGCCGCAGTCATGACCATACAGGCGATAAATCTGGAGCTTCGTGCTCTTTAGAGCTATTAAAGCTGTCCTGCTGAGAGCGCAGAGGAGACGATGTAGGTGGAGAAGGCAGAAAGATTAYATTTTTCCACTCTTCGTCCATTTTTGACACATGCATTTAGTCGTATGATCCCACAGCTCTGCTTGCGAGGGGTGGGGGGTTTCAGTGTTTGTTTTTAGTGGCAAGGGTCGAAAGGGAGCTCCGTAAGTCCTCCGTGAACTTCTACCCACTCTTCAGACCACGACATGACGTCGCCRACGAGGTGGCCCCCACAGGTTGCCTGGGTGTGGATCTCGTTGGCTGTCAGGACTCTGGACCAGAACTGCAGATCTGACACTTGTCCTGTGAAGGACTGTGTGATGTCGAARCGGCCTCCCATTGTGTCCTGTGGAGAAATAGGAAGAGATTGCTAAATTATTTAAAATGTTGAAAGTAAATGAGATAAAAGTCAATGCGATAATCCACTGTAACACACTACAGTAGCTGCGTTTCCATTGACCACTAAAATGTGCAAATTAGAATTTCAAAAATAAATTTGCTCAATCGAAACACGTCAATTTTGAAGAAAAAAATTACGCTTTTCGACAAAATGTTTTTGTGGTAGGATGAGGTGGTTTTTCGGCCGTGTCGAAATTGGTGTTTTTTGCAAAACTGCAATGGATACATTTTTTTGCATCACGGGAGTCATGTGATCAACAACCGGCTGTTTCCACTGGTGAAAAAGACGAAGAAGAAGATAACAGCAAGTAGAAGTAGTAGTAATATCACAGAAGTAGTATAAAATAGTAAACTCACTGACCACAATTTCCCAAAAACACAGCATACGTAGCTGCTCCCAAGTAGGAACTTGTCACTGGAAAGCCTCGATAAAAGACGCCGACGTCTCCTCTGATGATGAGCGCTAGTGTCGTGGTAGCAACATGCTATGTGTTTACATCCATTGCCGCCATGTTTGTAATGACTTATCGCGAGAACAAACATATTCATGTGTGACTTTAATAGCATTTCTTAAKTAATTGGAAATACCGCAGTTGTGAAACTGTGTTTTCTCGACATTAACAGAATATCAACAAAGTTTTGTGCACATTTGCAATGGAAACACAGCTCATCTTCTACTAGATTAGTCTTTGAGGARTTCTATGCTCAGGTTTTTGTTTGAAGTGTTTTAATTGATGCGTGGAGCTGCACTGACAATCATTTTTTAATTGCATAGCAGCCCTCTGAATAGCACTGAACCACGGGGTGCCTAAACATCCCCACTCTTGCCTAATACCCACTTCTATAAAGCACGCTGATTGACTGACCTGCTCCTGACCCAAGATAAAGATCCCTCCTGGTTGTATTGGGTGCCAGGCTGAAAGATTCTGCCCAGCACCTTTCTTCACACCGTCCTGGTAGGCCTCCCAAACTCCATCTCTTGTTGACCATGTGATGCACACATGGTGCCACTTTCCATCCATTATGTTTATTGGTAATGTCACCGCCTAACAAACAAAACAAGATGAAAAACAAGGGAGAAAGTRCAAGAAGAGGCCTTGCTTTTATGTRAAAACTAATTAACCACAGATCATTTACATGTGCCATCCATTAATTTGAAGTATGCTCAAAAACAACAAGCTTCGCAGTTTCTCCTACACAATTAGGTCAGCCAGTACAAAGACAATAACAAGATTAATTGCTTTGCTGATTTGTCTGCTGACATCACTTCACCCAATTCTGAGGCAGGGGAGGGACAAACACAACCATCTGTCTTCCGTTCAAGGGTATAAATTGTTAGTAGCTTTTCATGGAAAAAAAGATTAAGGGGTTAATAGAATAGATTTATTCTGCAGTCAGTGCCACTTTAACTCAGATATCTAGGGACNAAAAAATACAGACAAAGAAGTATATCGATTTCATAATGAATCTATACAAAAATAATCAACCAGAAATTTCTGGAAATTGTCTTTAAATCGTTTGGGGAAGTTAGTTGCTGCATCTGGTGACTTGACAATTAGACAATTATGTTTAGGTTAGTGCGCTTTCATGTACAATATGTATAGTATGTTTTCTTGTAATAATAGAATTATAGAATTTTGCAATTTCATATAACAACTTTTAAACACCTTTCCTCAGTCACCAGACTGCAATAAAAAACCTTGTAGGGTTGTGGTCAGATTTAGTGACATGAGTTTGAATCAAACTTGATGCATATTACCATGCAACACTGCAATGCATTGTGGTTACCTTGTCATTAACAAGCAGTTCCATGGGGTTGTTTCCCCATTCCATTAGCACTAGCTCATTGGCTTGCCCAGGTACGGCATAGGAGATGGGTGTGCCAAGGCCAGGACCTTCTCCAGGCTTTAGCCACAGACAGATGGTGAGGGCAAAGATCTCATTGACCACAGATCGCTTCATCCTGGCATACAAGTAATTGGTTCTCATGGGAAAATCAAGCAGGAAAGCACTGGGACTCTTAAGCTTCTTGTTTCCTGCTAAGATTGAGAAAGACAATTAGTTTCATGCAATTAACCTTCCTACTGCCCTTGGGTCAAAATGACCCACAAGACCTCTGTTTTAAGAATGAGGCAGGTCATTCTAACCAAAGGGCAGCATATGGATTAGTCTAAATAAATAAATGAAAACATAAAATAATAATAATAATTATGAACAACACAGAATTGACAGCCCAATGATTTTGCTGGGTAGACTGAAGTTTTTCACCTGTCTGACCCTGCATCTTGTGCAAATTCTTCAGTTGAAATGGACAGTTGTTGTATTCCGCTTTCCAATGGAGTTTAGATTTAAGCATGTAAAACTAGGAAGCAGGTATTTGGAAAACATAGACCTGCCTTAAAACAATTACAAATGAATGTTTTCACATGAGCTGAGTTTTAAAATGCACTACTGCGCTGATGCATCCATTAGCTCCAGTTTAAATGAGACCAAGCTATATTACATTTGTGTGTGTGTACTCATATGTGTGTATAGTGTGTATACCTTGGTCATTGCTGTGGTGCAGTTGGCTGAGAACTGTTTCCAGCTTGCTGTGATTGGTGCCCTGTAAACTTGTGTCCTTACTGGTGAAAGGGAGGTGTTGTGGATGGTCATTGTCTTGAGGGTGGTCATTTCCATGGTGCTCACTTCCATGGTGGCTGGTTCCATGGTTAATGGTTCCATGGTGGCTGCTTCCATGATGATCAACATGGTGAGGACTTCCATGGTGGGTGTTTCCATGGTAATCACCATGGTGGTCATTTCCATAGTGGCTAGTTCCATGGTGGTCTCCATAATGACCATCACGGTGTTTGTCATAATGCCCATGGTGATAATTATGGTAAGCATCATTATGACTGCCTCCRTGGTGGTCACTATGATGGTCACTGTGATGGCCATTATGGTGGCTGTTGTGATGGTTGTCAAAGTGGCCATAATGGTGGCCATGGTGCCAGTCAAGGTGGTGGTCAGGATGATCACTGCCATGATGATTGTCATGACTGCTGTGATGGTTGTATGTGTGGCTACCATGGTGGTGGGCGTGGTGACCATTGTGGTGGTCTTCATGGTGACCCGTGCCATGGTGGTCAAAATGGTGTCTATGAGGAGTGCCATAGTGGCCATCATGATGACCATGAGGATGGCCAGTGCCATAGTGGCCATCGTGGTGATTATAATTTTGACCAGCATAGTGATTGCTGGTGTGGTTGCTGTCATGATGGTCAGCATGGTGATGTCCATGCTGGTCGTTATGATGACCGGACTCATGCTGGTCTCTGTGGTAACTGTGCAACTGCTCTTCTAAAGAACTGATCTTCCTCTGAAGGAGTTCTCTCAGGGAGCTTGAGTAGGAGCTGGAGGAGTTTCTGGCCTTTGAACACAAAACAATCATCAGAAACATGAGTCAGCCAGGTAAAAAAAATACACGACAAAAAAAAAAGAAAAGAAAAAAGAACAAACAAACAAACAAACAAACAAACAAACAAACAAACAAACAAACAAACAAACAAACAAACAAACAAACAAACAAACAAACAAACAAACAAAATGTATGTGCTGCAAATGCAATAAGGAAGAATTGTGGTATGGTATTCAATGGTTCAGTCGAAAAAAAAAACACTCCAGTTTTTAGTTTATTCTTCTTCCTCTCCACTGTGCTTGTAGTCATCTTCCTCACCAGCAAATCCGGCTTTGTTCCCTGCCAGCACACACCATGAATAATAGCCTCGTCAGGGTGGATAAACCTAATTGAAGGTGAGGCTGGCTAGCACCCTTGGGCATATGACCAGAGGCTGGTAGTGTAGACATCTTGTTAAAAGAGGGAGTGACAGAAAGTAAATCCTGGCGCTTCTTGTGTTTTGTCTGGCACCTTGCAAGGACATTGAAGGAGATTTCTCACAGCAAATTCCCTGAGCAAAGTCTGAGAYCCCTTGCATTAATAAGACTCCCAGAGGTGTTTGATGACAGAGGGGGTCACACAATGTGAGGTACCACAATCACACGTTTGTGTTAAAGGATGTTTGAGAAGAAGGTCAAAAATCTATCACAATTCTTTAGGATATTCTATCATGCACCCTTAACACAACAAATCTCCAAAATTATCCATTCAAAGTTCAGAGTTTATCACTTGTGACCAGTATCTGTGCCATTTAAAAATTTGAAACCATCACATCAGCTTTCAGCTCCTCATAAAAGACAATGCGCCTCATGCAAGAACATGTTCGTATTCTCATCCTAAATTTCTCTTACTTTTGTTCGTACAAATGGTTCGTATGAACATGCCACTTCAGATTCAACAAACTCTTCTATCTTCAGGAAAAGTGTGTAAATGAGCTGTGTAAACATGATGAATTACACCTGTTTGTCTCTAGCTGCTTGTGCATGCGGAGAGGTGATTAGCATAATTACCACCCCAAAAGCACCATATAAGGCTGTTTCTTGCCTCAGATATCAGGCAGTGTCCGTTCATGAAAATGACAGCGGAAAGTGAAAAGAAGAACTTTACGAATTCAGAGATTGAAGTTCTGCTCTCCGAGATCGAGAGAAGAAAATCTGTCCTTTTTAGCAGTGTCAGTCGTGGAATAAAAGGACCAGCTAAAGCCAAAGAATGGAATGAAATGACGACTGCTGTTAATGTCGTGTCTGCTGTGGGTCGTATACAGTCACAGAAATAAAAATCTAAATCATATTTATCTCTCTCTAGTCCTGCTCCGGTTTTCTTTGGTCAATATTTTTAATTTAAGAGTAAATATCTGTGTTACATAGTTAGTATCCAAAGAACAAGCATGTATTTGTAAAAGCTGGACACAAAGTCCAACTAGTGTTTAGCTTACCTGCAAGTTTTCCAGCCTTTCTTTCAGGGTCTGCAGCGTCTTTCCAGTCTGTTCAGCAGAAATAGAGCTTATCTTGCTGTATGATGACCCCTTTGGTTGTTCAAGTTCCGTTCCATGACCGCTGGAGGAGTGGTGAAGATCACTGTCGTGGTGTGCCGAGGGCCCGTGGTGCAACGACGATGGCCCATGATGGCTGTCATGAAGGCTACTGTGATGGCTGTCATGATGGCTGCCATGGCTGATGTCATGATGGCTGCCATGATGACCGTCATGATGGCTACCATGATGATCGTCATGATGGCTGCCATGATGGCTTTTGTGAAGGCTGCCGTGGTTGATGTCATGATGGCTGCCGTGGTTGATGTCATGATGGATGCCATGATGGCTGTCGTGAAGGCTACCATGATGGCTGCCGTGATGGCCATCGTGATGGCTGCCATGATGGCTGTCATGATGACTACCATGATGGCCATCATAATGTCCATGGTGCTCATCATGGTGACCGTTGTGGTTGGCAAGATGGTTGCTGTGAGGGGTACCATGATGACTGTATTTGTCATGATGGTGACCACCATAGCCTTCACACAGGGTGAGCTTGGCAGTGAGCTCTCTAATGGTCTCTCGCTGGTCCAGGATGGTTTCCTTCTGCCTCACAAGGCTCTCACGCAGATTCAAAATAGTGGTCTGAGCCTCATCAGACATTAAGAGCCGATGGCTGCCACCACTGTGGTCATTACTCTGGCTGTTGCTCGGTCCATGGGCCATAGTGGGTGGTGGGTAGCAGTTGGGGTCTGCATCTGGAGGAATGGGAGTACACACAAATTTGGGGCCAATTCCATAATCATGCACCTTGCCAGGCACACCTACTGCTGTTGCACATGACAAGCAGTAATAAAAAAATATAGAGTGTAGAGGGGAGGTGGGAAGAAAAATCTTCAAAAAGAGTCCAATCCATTGCTGGGGCCTTGCAGGAGAAGGCATGAGGCTCAAAGGACCACCGTCTTTGGCCATAACTGGTTGAAATAGAAGAAATATCCTGATAAATAACCTTTCTCTGAGGTGTTAATTTTGTTGTAAAGAAAACCATGAATGATTGTCATTTGTTTTTGAAGATATTTTGGGGGATAACATCAACAAAACCACTGCTGATGAAATCTCCTTTCAGACAGCACAACATATAATAAATAAAACAAATGTCTACAACTTATTTGGAAGGATCAGAAAGGCTGACCCCAACTCTTTATCTGTTGCCTTCAAGACAACCTTGTTGAATCAGGCAAATTTTCTTGGCTCCATAGTGATTTCACAGAGAGCTTGGCTGATGTATCCTTATAGGCTCTTCCACCCACTCAAGGACGAGATGTTGGTCCAATGCCAGACAAGTGATCACTCCTGGCTCCAAGAACTTCCTGCAATTGACAGCTAAGAGTAATCCATTTAACTTCAGCATGTAAACATCCGCCGAATCCAAGTGCAATGCTTCCTGTTGGAGACAGAGAAAACATAAAAAATTAAAATTAAAATTAAAATTCAAGAAAACAAAGGTTTTGTTGTCTAATTGCTAATTATTAGAACCAATAAAAGCACAGCATTTTTGTTATTTTTGACGTAAAGCACAAATTACTTTAATTAAGTGTCAGAAACAAAAAATGAAGGAGGTTTATGAATATAATTTGAGTTGATAATGAACTATAACAACAACAACAACAACAACAACAACAACAACAACAACAACAACAACAACAACAACAACAACAACAACAACAACAACAACAACAATAATAATAAACAATACATTTTATAAATTTGTTTTTAGAAAAAGCCATTGAAATTTCTTTTCAGGGTCACTTGTCTGAGGTAAAGTGAATGCACCATAAGATTAATGACCAGCAGGTGATCTCCAAGACTACAGCAGGTCACAGTTAATTATTTTGACCGTAAAATCCAGTAATTTTCTAAATAAAAGCTGGAACTGATTCAAAACAGGCATTTATACAACTATTTTATACAAATATTTTAAGAAAAGGTATAAAAGCTCATCCATTCGTCCAAACCTTTGTTAGTTTTAGTTGTTAAAAATCCAACAAAGCAAATTCTGTGCCAGGTTTGTGTAAATGTCATCACTTTATATCTAATTTATTAGTGGAATAATTTTAGGATTTCAACAAACTCAGCATCAGTTTATTGTACCTATGGCAAACTGTGCATATAATTAGCTGCTCTTGTAAAGAATACTTTTCTCTAAGTAATGTCAAAAATCCAAAGTTTTCCATCTATGAAAAAAAAAAACCCCAAAGTTTCAGGTCCAATGGGCTTGTTGAACTCAGAGTGCGGGATACAAAGCCAAGGAGAAAAAGTTTCAGAACATGCAAGCTCTACTTCCTCCTAAGCTCCTTATCTTTATAGCCTATCACCAGTTTAAACACTCAGTGAGACCATGAAGTCTAAACAGCTGAGTCTCATTGACTGTCTTCTCTTTGATATTGTCCTTCTGAGAAAAATAAAACAATATACATTACAAGCAATGAAACAAATGCAATTAGTCAAATATCTGTGGCAATACATGTAACATATTGAATGTTTAGACAAGGAACTTTAGCTGTTAGAAGCTAAAGTTTAAATGACAAAAACCTTTGAAGTTTAAACAACAATTTAAAAAAAACACCAATTATTTAATGAACCTTGAGTTATCTGCCTAAAAGTATGATTTATTGATCTTTTCCTTTAAACAACATTGAGATGTTCAAATAAGCAGCCAGCAGGTTGGAATAACAAGGCCTGCTGTCTGATACTTCAAAACAACATTAGAGTAGATTTAAGAGACATGATACTTTGCTGCTGTGACACGTGGCATCACACAAGTCAGAAAACCATCATATCAAGTGTACAACAGTGAAGTGGTTTTAAAATGGGTTCTTTAAAAGCTGAAAAGTAACATTCCACCAAACAAAGTATGAGTGTTTGACATTTGAATCACTCAAATTCTGCTTTATAATATTCTGTCATTTTACAATCATTCATTTGTTGCTGCACAACTTAGCTTGCTAATATTTTTTACTGAAATAATAAAGTATTTTCGTCAAAAGAAAGTGATTTTCAGTGCACGGGAGCACTGAATGTCTAGTTGTAAGCAACCAGTTGGCAGCAGATATGAAATTTCCCAAACTGGGCTAAATTTTTCCAAAATTATCTTTTATTCTATACTTCCTATTCATTTCTGTTAAAACTTATGTATTTTTTTACATTTTAAGGTTAAAAATTGAGCATCTCATTAATGAAGCTGTTTCTGGCTGACATCATCTTGATGAATCAGTTGTATTTTTGTGTTTCCCTGAGAGGTCCCTGGTTGATGCCAACACAGAAGATGAATATCTGCAAAATAATGAYCTAACATTGTCCATTTCATTTTTCTAAATTATTTCTGACCAATTCAAAAACATGAATTAAAACTTGTACAAAACCATTCTTATACTTTAAACACAAATGCTGAAAAGAATCCACTCTGTGGTTTACAATGTGAAAACATGACTGAGTGATGTTTTGTATTCAGTGTTTGTCCAACACTATATTATATTATCATACATGCAAACATGGAGAAGCTCTGTCCTTTCTGAGGCTTAAAGATCCTCTGTCACCTTTTTATCCTTGTGTGAACTCTGACCTAATCATTGCATGAGTCAGGAGCTCTGGCCTCGTGGTAAACACAACATGGAGGTGAGTTTTGTCTTTTAGCATCCGTGGTCCCAAAATTTGTTTATCAAACAAATGTGGCAGATAGCTCATAGCAGTTTAAACCTGTTTTCAATCACAGAAAAACTGACTGTAGTGGCGAACGCACACTGTAGTTTGGACGAGTGTGATAAACATGTATAAGCATGAGAACAGAGAAATGACAATCATCTATTTTTTTTACTTTATTCTGCTCAGTGCTGCAAGAAAGTGGTTGCATTTTACAGCTGCTGTTAGAAGAGAAGCAGATATGAACTCAAATCAAAAATCAGCTGTAAAAACATGAACGGTTAAACAAAAAATACTTATTTTGATAAAAAGCAGATCTTCTCATTTTTGACAGATTATCTTAACAATATAACTTTATTATTCTAATTAATGTCTTTTGCAGCTCTTTGAACTTTCATAGTAAAATCTGCAGCAAAATCGTTAAAATTTGACTCAAATGACGCTCTGCAGGAACATTATGACTGCAGACAAGTTAGTTAAAAATTAACATAAAGTAATAAAAAGTCATTTTTAAAATGTCAAAATATGGCAAATTTATGTTTTAACATTTTCTGTTATTTCACCAAAATTCCTACTKTTAGATTTTTGCTTAAAATAAACTCAGTTGTTATTGTGACTTTTTTCTTTCATTTATTGTGACACCTTTAAATAATAATATTAGGTTTTTGATAAAAGTATTCATTTGAATATAGCCTACATATCTAATGGTACTGATATTGTTTAGATTTTATTTAGAAAAAAATGCACCCATGTCCCTATCACACACTCACACTATGATTTATGAAGTATGCACCAATATATCCACTTCTGTGAAGAGCTGTCTGCCTTCTTGTCACTTCAGAAAAAATAAATAAATAAACTGAAAAAGGACAAAGGTTCATTTTCTCTTTTTGAAAACATAAAAATATCCCAAACTCTCAGAGCAGCAGCAGCAATTACTGTTTAGAGAGATTCAGGTCAACAACCCTCCACTTTGGAACAGTTGAGTGGTGAGAGGTTTTGTTCCAACTCACAGTTAGATCATTTTAGCATATTTTTACAGCCTTTTGTCTTTTTAACAAATGAAAATGCTGAGTTCAGTCTGCAGCTRAACAGCAGTGAAGTTACAGAAACTTTGTAATTTTATTAATTTACAACCTGATGTCAAAGATCTGAGCTCAGAAAGTGAAAAAAAAGTTTTGGTTTTATGTAAAGCTGCAGGCTCAARAATTAAAAAAATGCTCATTGACTGAAGTGACAAACAAGTTTAGTCTAAGATCTCATGGAGGAAACAATAAACACAAACTCATTAACTCAAACTAAACTGAGGGTTTTAAATTCATATTTCTGTAGACATGAGGATCCAGGCTGTAAAATGAAATGACTGCCTCTGTCACAGGTAAGTTGAAAGTGAGTGTCATGCTTTTCAGCAGGTGCACTTTTGATTTTCAGGCCCGTGGATCATCCCCACAGTTTGTTTGGCCTCTTTAAGCTGTCTCGAGTCAAACAGCGCTCTGAGAGCTGCACGTGGCCTCAGGCACATCAGCTCAGTGCTGACCTGACCAACGCAGTGGGSTTCACAGACGATAATTTAAAAAGAAATAGTGAACATTAAAAATGATGTTACAATCTGATATTAACTGATAAGCTAAAAAATACACACAGAAGTAGGGACAGGAAAAAAAGCAAATGAACTGAACAAACTAGAAAACTGAAAAAAGCCGATAAGAAAGAAGACTTAAAACGTCTATTACTCAATGATTCGGTGACAAAGCAGTTTAGAAAAAATAAATAAATAAGCAAAGGGCAAAAAAAGCAAGTTGTCATCTGTTTTTATAAGTATTATAAGAAGTGTAGACTGAAAGATCTTCACTTTAACACAAGCAACTCAAACCGTTTCATCAAAACTTTCCTAAAAACTGAACRATTCAACAAAACTCAGGCTCTTAGGTTTTAAAGTAAAACACAAACTTTGTGACCTATCGGGTCCTTGCGTTTGCTGAAAAAACCCTTAAAGACCGTATAAAGTAAAAATAAATGTGTGTTCTGAGGTTGTCACACCACACAGAAATACAGTATGTGTTAATAATCACCCAGCCATGTTTGAACAATTAAAAATACTGTTAACCTTATAAAATTATGTGTTGAAAGTAATGAAAAATATCCGTTAGCTGTGGTCTGGAATGCTGTGGGTGTGTCCACTGGAGGAGCTCAAACCACGCCCACGACCCTGAACATTCATGTAATGGAGGAAACAATGTTTTGTTTTGTTTTTTCCATTAAAGCAACAGGGGGAGGGGTTATGATGAAGGCAGCTGTGTGACATCACGAGGCTGCCCTTTAAGACACGCCCAAAAAATTCTGAAACACAGATACCTACAGTTGAGAGAATTTGTACTCATTTACAACAATMCATTTATGACATTTATAGTGTTTAATAAAGAAAATGTTACATTTTACTTTACACGGTCTTTAAATAAAAACCCAGAAGATGAACTAAATTACAAAGATATTTTGAACAAAACAGATGATTTCAGCTGCAGAGTTTCAAGCATTTCAWTTCTGATAAACAGTGTATTTTTGTTAAATTCTTACTCCATATGTTAGTCAGTAACTAACTGACTGTGCCACAAAAATACATTGTTCTCACACATTTGAAGGAGCTGCTGATCATCTGAACAAATAGAAATCCTCTGTTTTAGACAGCAGAGCATCATTCCCTCAGTTTGGTTGTGAACAGAGTTCTGCTTTTTAAACTGGACTCAGCTGCTTTTCAGTGACGACCTTTTGTTTTAAAGTCAGATTTTTTTTGCTGTTTGTGTTTTATCAACACAAACTATCTTTGTAAAGACAGAAACAAAAAGTTTTCTTACCTGGCTGTGAGTTTGGGACGCCTGAGCTGGTTAGTCCATGGAGCACACTGATCAGCTTGAGGAGGATTGGCTTTAGGAGGATAAATTTAACTCAGTCTCTCTGCTGCTCTCTGAGCATGTGCAGTGGCGAGATGTTACACAGTAGTCCTCTGTTAGAAAGAGGTCATTCTSTACAGTAGATTTGTATTAAATATTTATTTTAATAAAGTTCTCTTTTACTTTTTCAAGATTGAACAAGTTAATTTTGTCTTTATTGTGTTTATTTGGAGTTCACCTATTTCTGTTTTTTAATCTTGTTAGTCTTTATCAGTGTGCATTGCCAATGCAATGCACCCTATTGTGATTCGTTTCCCATCCAAGTCATCTCAACTTTGCCATGCTTCTCCTCCTGCATACTTTGYCCTAGAGCTGCCAATGTAATTTATATCTGTAAAGGTCATATGCCAAATGATGGCTATGCCTTTTGGTGCCTGTAAAACTTATAGTTTCTGAAATATTAATGTTTAATGAATTATAATGGCAGTCAATGGAGCCTTGTATTGGTCCAATACTGCCCCATGCTGTACTCAACTTGGAACTGCACCATAGTTTTTTAATATTTAATCTCAATAGTTCAGTGTTTACAATACTAGTATGATTGTATTTTGATGTTTTACTATAATATTGTCTTAATACTGCTCGATTGTTGTAATATTATGCATTTTTGTGTCAATAATTTTATTGGCAATGTGGTGTCTTTCTGCACACATACAAACCAACCCCTGCCACCTTCATCTGCCACAGCTCTATTGGTCTAATGGTCTATGTCAGTGTTTCCCAAAGTTGGGGTCGGGACCCAAAGTGGGGTCCCGAAACATCAGGGTGGGGTCCTGAAAAGATTTTCTGAATTAATTATATTTTTGCCTTAGTTGTTTCAAAGGAGTGAGGTTAGTGTATTTAAAATGGATAAATGTAGTATAAAAATATTGTTACTATGCCCATGTTTTGTTGACCTGATACAAATGTTTATCATCCAAAAATGGGGGAAAAGGTCTCTGCTACAGTGATTTTGTGGGCCAAAAGCTGAAAAGTTTGGGAACCAGTGCACTTTGGTTCCCAAATTTGGACATGGGACCCAATAATGGGTCATGAAGCACCTTGGATAATATCCAGAAATTAATTTAAAGGGCAATAAAATAATTACTGATGTAATACCCCCCCCAACTATTACAAAAACACAAAATAAGTATAAATAAGTATTTATATTTGTGTACAAGCTGTTTAGATTAACAAAAAGCCTGTGTCTGGGTTATTAACGAAGTTCATGTACTCAGACCAGTAATATTTGGGGTCACAAGTTTTTGCCATGGATATTTTGTGGGTCAGAAAAAAAAAGTTTGGGAACCACTGGTCTATGTCATGGACTTTTATGTGGGAGATCAGGGTTCAAAACCCAGCTAATGCAACTTTAACAAAAAATCTCTTCAAATTTCATATTGTCACACAATTACCTTAATTACAAATACCTGCTGACGGGACAGGCACAAGCTGGTATTGAAAACACATTTGAACTTGGTCAAAGTTCATTCTGCAAGTCCAATGCTGCAGGCAAAGCCATGCTAAATGGCAATGCACACTTGTTTTTACATCGTAAAAACCCATGTCTAGTTATTATTATTATTATTATTATTATTATTAGCCTGCTCTACCTGTCTCTGTGCCAGGTGATTGGCTTTGTAGGTTCTTTTGTTTAGCTGATTTCTGTCTAATAAACYTATTTCAATGACAMTTATTTGACTCCAAGTTTGAGCTTCATGTTGAAATGGAASTTATTCTGAAAACATTGTTAGTTTTTTTGTGCTGTTTTCCTTTTTTAATGAATGCATCTTCTGAGACGTGCATATTGCAACTCATCACACATGCAGCACACATGCACTGCTTCTACAAAATAAAATGTATATTTACTCATTTTGTCATGTCACTGGTTTCACTAAAGGTACATTTCAAGAAAATAAAAACAAATTTAACAACTAAGAATTTCACACAAGACTAGAATTTTTATTTTGTTATTTATGTAATGACAGCACTTCAGGAATTTGGACTATTTCCAAACAAAGGTTTTATTAACTTATACTTACAAAGTCAAACAGGCTTAGAGCCAATATGTACACACTTTTTTTCATTTTCAACTTTTTCCATATCCCCTCAATTTTATTTCATATTTAAAAATAATGAATTAAAGCTCCAGGTCTGTGTTAAATTTAACCTTGACTTGCTCCAGCCACACTTTTTGTCCCAACAGCCACAAACCTGATGCAGACACCTGCGTCAGCGGATGTGTGGGCTGAAGATTCACAGTGGAAAAGTCCCACTTAACTGATTGGCTCATTGACAAACCTGCTAATGCTGTCCTGCACACAAAAACATATAAGTGCAGTCTGAGCAACAGAGTCATTAGAAACTGAACAAACTACACAAACACTGGTCATGCAGATATATCTATTGTGACCTTCACATTTTATTGAAACAWTTCTTCAGTTTTCTCTCAAAGTGTTTCAATGAAAAGCATGTGCTTGATCCTAAAGTTTCTGAGAGAGGTTAAGACTAAACTGGAGTTTTTTTAACCTCAATTATGTTTAAAAGTATTTTATGTTCTTTAATTGTAAAAGTGCTCTTATTAAGTATTAACTGTTGTCTTTGGTAAGCTGGTTGGTCTGRAGCAATTCGCTAAATTCAGAAACATGTAGAGACAGCTAACTGATCTAAGAAAGGCTGAAAGCATTAATGAGATTTATTTTACTTTTCATCATCACATGATTTGGGATTAAATCAGATGAAGCAGGTTTATAACAGAAATAGAAAGTGGTAACATTCAGGTTCAGGTTCAGGTTCAGGTTCAGGTTCAGGTTCAGGTTCAGGTAAGCTCATTTTGTCCAAACACTCAGTGGCTGCTCTCTTATATATTAACTTGTGCACTTGAACATGTAGGTGGAGAGTGGCAACATTAGTTAGAATGAAAGTGTGAAAGTTAGTGAAAAAAAAACAAAACATGATCTAAATTATGTCTTGATTTTCTGCACATTTTGCAACAACTTTTATGCAGTTTTAGCAAATTTGAACATAAACTAAGTCCATTTCACAACAACTCAATGCTCAATAAGCAAAGATAGCAGAAACGACTCGGGTCACAAACACATTTAAATCCGTGAGAAAATAATTTATTTTTATTCACATTTTTTCAAAAGTTTGTTTTACTCTGTCAAACATGGCTACATATTTAATGAAATAAATGCATGTGAGAAAATGGACGTTCTATTATGTCAACAGCTTTTAACATATTTAATTAACAAAGACTTAATTCTGTAAAATATATATTTATTTAGGTGTCACACTGTGAATTCCCTCTTCACTCATAAGTTCCCAGAAAACTTTGCAGCTCATGTATCTGTGTGCAGTAAGCATGTTTTATAATCCAACYAGTCTGACCTCGTGACCTTCTGTTTGAATCCAGGTCATTTTTTTCCTGCTTGGACTCTGTTTTTGTGGCAGAAGGGAGCTGGTCAGAAACAACACTTTTATTATTAAAACAATTAGYTCAAGAGACGAAAGCTGAGCATAAATAAAGTTGAACTGGTGGTTAATGATGTCAGGAAAGAAACCATAAACACTGACTGAGCGGAGAAAATCTAAACTCTTCATGCAGTGAAGGCATCTGAGTGACACTAATCATTTTCAGGAATCACTTGTAAATACAACTAAACAGACAAGAAATTATGAATAAATTTAAATATTTATTTTCAAATTATGGAAAAGAAATAACTCATATCTGATAAAAAAATAGAGTTATTGTAAAAGCAAGAATGTTACATTATTTCTAATACTTTATATTAGCAGTTTTTATTACTTTATTAGCAMACAAAAAAGAAAAGAAAATTGTATAAAAGTACATGCAAGTAACATATATAGAAAATATATTAACAAATAAACTGGAAGACAAAGCACCTCCCCACGCTGTCAGGACAATCAACAATAAGAATAAACACAATTAAAACTTGCTTTGGTAGTTTCTTAGTTGGTAAAAAGAAACATGCACTTGTGCGCCATCTCGGCAGCTTSAACATCCGGATGAATCTTCCTCCTCCTTGGGGTCAGTTTAATCTGATCACCTCACTGCAGCACTGTCAGGGTCTGAACACTCTGCATGCCTGAAGGCTCAGAGCAGCTTAGCTTTACATCCATCACTCCTCCCCTCCTGAAAGCCTCCCTGCCAGGTGGTGCCATCTCATGGTTAGGGACCACTGCAGCACTAAGGACAAATAAAAAGGCAAGAATGATTAAAAGAAGATGGTATTTAGTTACTTCTTAATCTGAAAACTTAAAACAAAACTAATAGGGATGAGCCCATAATCTATTTCCTGTTTGCACTAGGGACCAGTGCTCTAAAAGCCCAAAGTGAAATCTTAAATTTAAGCATCTCTTTACATAATGTTTTTTTATTTAGAACCCCATTATGACAATAATAAACATATTTTTCAGAAGCCCTAAAGCTGAGAGTCAATAATGGCTAAAAACAGCCTCACACAGTCAGTTTTCTGCTGGTCTGCATAAACATCCATCACCTCAGCATGATCAGCATTTTAATTAGCCTGCATCAGCTTAGAGCTGAGCTAACTGTATACACATGATGTGACTTACTCCAACRTGCTTTAGTTCTTCTTATTTCTGATTTATTTTTCTCTCCTTTACAGCAAGCCCTTCGTTTCTGTGTGCTTATGGCTCTGTGACCTTCTTGCAAACACGCACCTTATCACAATGCCAGGCATACCTTCCTGCAGTATTTTCTCTATTGCTCAGGTGAGGGGAAGAACAGGCTTTCAATGGTTCTGTAGGAGAATGATGTGGATCAATTAGATAGCAATAAGACCCCTGCACACATGCAAAGCACCAATGCACCAGAACTCAGAACTCACGGGAACAGTTTTACTGTTTTGGGTGGGGGTCCGGGGGTGTTAGGGGGGCACATTGATGGGCCTGATGGATAACCCTTCATCAGAACTAAAAAAAAAAATAATAATAATAATCTGAAGCTCCTATGTTGAATAGTTTTTGAGTTATAACAATTTTTGAATGTCCAGACACCCCATTTTCAGATGGAGCTCCCTCCTCAAATATGGGGTCTATCATAAAACTGTTGGGTGGCACAGCTTAGGTTGGACACATCTACATTCCTGCCAAATTTCATGTAGATCGGTGCAGCTGTTTCCATGACACGGTTGACCAAATATCACTGACAAAAAAAAAAAAAAAAAACCCAAGAAAAAAATGCAGTACAAAACAAAATCCCCCCTGTTTCGCATAATAAATGATTAAATCAAATTTAAATGATTAAATCAAGTGTTTTGGAGAAGCTGAATCTCTCAAAAGCAGGGGTATCAAACTCATTTTCCTGGAGGGCCACATGAGCGTTATGGTGACCTTCAAAAGGGCCAGTCGTTCCCATGACCAACATGCAAAATGGGAGATTACGTTTGTGGTCGATGCTGCTTATTTTTAGACATTATTAGACATTATTACTGATCTATCTAACTAAATTGCTCAGTTACATATAGCCAACAGCTCAGGGGGAGGATAAATACTGTATTTATTCATGTACAATATTTAACCCTAAAAATCATCCATAAAGTAGAGGGGTAATATTATACACGGGTTATTGATAATCAGGTTTTAATGCTTTTAAACTCAAAAAGCAATGATTTTATTATACTTGAGATCATATTATACATGAATAAATACGGTAATATTGTCTGTCACCTTTTAAATTTGTTTATTTTGCTGCATTTAACCATAAATTTCAAGTTTACCAT